ATGCGGACTTTTAACTCTGATCACGGAGCCATTTCGACATACGGGCGAAATTCCTCTGACCGTGCAGGGAATATTGGACCAAACGTCGGGCGCCTTCAGACGCTCTTAGTAGCCAAAATGTTAAGGTGATATGAAAGTGTGATATATACCTACCAAAAGTCCAAATATTTATACAAATTTTCTCCAAACTGGGTGCACCGAATTATCTGACACTTTACAGATGATCACGGAGGCTCCAAGATAAAGAAATATTTTTTTTTGTTGGTTCTTCTCCGAGAATGTAGTAATGATGAGTAGAGAATGAAGTATGACCTTGTAGAGAATGAAGTAATGAAGAGATCGACGTAGAACTGTCGAAATCCCATGAATTCATTATTTCAACGACTCTTTAGGACCAACGTCGCCATCTGTGACGTTTATCTGCAACTAAATTTTTTTTTTTCTAGAAACGCGCTACCCACGGGCCAAGTCGACATTTCCTCGCAATCATTAGTGAAGTTCCTGATTGGAATACTTACTTGAAGGCGGTTTTCGCATCCAGCTTGTTTTTAATCTCCACGAAGAAGCTGCTAGGTCGGTAGGCCTCTTCTTCATGGTACTCCTTCCCGAAGAGGACCTCCCTAGTGTCCAGGGTGAGGCTTTTTCGCACCACGTCCGCGGTTACAGTCAGCTCGAACGAGTGGTTGTCGTTGATGACGTAGTCTATGTATCCGTTGAATTTACCGACTCGATCGGCACGTAATTCCACAAGCTTCGAGACAAGGACTCCAGGTTGTAGAACGAGGGAATCCCCGCCGATGAAACGGACGCTCTTCGGGGCTGGACTCACCAAACGCACCATGACTGGAAAGCGGTTCTTATTCTGGATAGACAGCAACCGGTGGTTCAGACTCTTCGGGGCTACCTTGAAGATCCAATTGTCTATGAATTATCGTTGTAACGTTCTACCTTGCTTTAAAATTAACAGAAATGTATGTACCCGTAAAAAATGGTATCAGACCTACAGGAACGTTCAACGAAGTCTGACCATTTGCATACGTTTCTGTTAGTTTCCTTTTTTCCCCACTAGGGTAAGCCTAAGTTGGTGGAAATGCGTACCGCACCAAACGCAAAGACGGTTGGAGACACCTTGACGTTGTAAATCTGCAGAGGCGAAAGTGGGACCAGAATTGCATCCTTGACCTTGGTCGCCGCCACGTCTATCGAGGGTCGACCTGGGGGAACTTTATCTTCCCCAGCACGTGGCAATTTCGGTCCCAGGTCGAGGATCCCCTGTTCGGTCTGAGGCTCGACACACCTTGAAGAGCGCTTCTGGGACCGAGCTCTTCTCTTTGCGCCTCTTCTCTCGAGATACCTTCGCCAGCGGATTCGCTCTTCGGCGCGAAAATTCCCCTCTTCAGGGCTTAAGGTCTCGGACCAATTTGCTTGCCCTTTGTATCTCAGCTTCCCCGTGAAGATGCTCCTCACGGCAGGGCCTGACCACGGCCTCAGGGACCTCCTGGTGTCGTTGGGATACCCTGGAACGCTATCGGGAAAGGCTTTCCAGTGAATTCCTCTTCTGTTCGCCCAGACTCTCTGGGGATCTCGGTGCACCTGGAGAATCGCCTGGCGAGGCTTCTTCAGGGTCGAGCCGAAGGTTGCTAGTTCAGTGTTGAAGCCGACTTCGTTCGACACCAAGGGAGTGATGCCTGGAAACCGGACAGAGAAATTAATTTCAACCTTTCATGTCACCTCGATGCGAGGATGTAACAATGGAATTGGATTTTTTACCCATGACGAATTTCGCTGTCAGGCTCTTCGTCGGCGCTCTCACGTTTGCGACGTAACATGGAACGTAACATGTCTCCACTTTCTCGCTAATTGAAGTTCTTCTTGGTGAATCTTCGATGCTGTCGGCGATGACGTCGAAAGAGAGCTTGGTCATGGGCATTGCTGAAGAGTGTAACAAAGAAAAAAGAACCAGAGTGCTTTCCTTCATGAAGTAGACATCACATAATTCTATTCTAATTAGTGTTAATATCAATAATCATGTTTAATCAACATAGAGCTTTTCAGTTGATCAAGGTGCGTTACGATGCTGTCGGCGATGACGTCGAAAGAGAGCTTGGTCATGGGCATTGCTGAAGAGTGTAACAAAGAAAAAAGAACCAGAGTGCTTTCCTTCATGAAGTAGACATCACATAATTCTATTCTAATTAGTGTTAATATTAATAATCATGTTTAATCAACATAGAGATCATGATCAAGGTGCGTTACCGCAAAAACCTCCAGTGATTTTCATGGCGACTTCGACGACCTGCTTCGGCAAAAGCCGGCATTTCTTCGGCTCGCACTTCGCTATCGGGTTGGTGAGGAACTCGAAAGTCACTGGAGAACTCGGGGATGGATTTTGTATGCTAATGACACGCTGGACTGTCTCCTCGATCTGCAATTCTCCGAGATGAAGAGCATCGGGAGTGAAGACCAACCTGGCCCTCTCGACTTCCCCATGAAGACACAATCTCACCGCCTCGTGGATGGTCTGATCGGTCGAAGAAGTCACAGAAGACACGGTGGAGTCGCTGTACGATGTCTCCACTTGTTGAAGAACATTACTCATTGTAATGTGAAACCATGGGTGGGTTTCAAGACTCCCTATGGTGCGAAGAAGTTGACGAAGAGCATCAACACTTACGTATTCGAGCTTTGTGCGACTCGGTTTGAACATCTCTGCTCGCGTCCGTTCCTGAAAATGTTTTCAGACATTAGGATGGTTGAAAAGCTCCTCAAAAGCATTTTTTTTATTCGCTTTTTCAACACAGGTATTTCAGAACTTTCTGACCTAGCTGATATAATTTGGAAAAAGCTGCAGTTCCAGGATAACTTACTGATCACGTCTTCCACTTCTGTGCAGTGCACCCTGAGGATCCTGAGGAAAGCCATGAAGTCCGGGTCGCCTCTAGTCGAGTTTTCGCAGTTTGCAGACAGCGCCCTCGTTGGTGCGAACCTGAAGTAAACGACAATCTAAAAGTAATGGGGTTTTCATTCCTTCTTCATTTACAGAGAATGGATCCATCCTTCTTTACACGATGCTGAAGATGACGCCTTCAAAAGGACCCATGCGGCCTTCTACGGGGCGGATCTTGAAGGCTCCATAAGCTGGACAGATCTCCCGGTCGATGCTCTTTAAAACCGGAGAAATAAACAGGTGATAAAGGAAGAGTAACTATTAAAAAGCGCTTAAGAGTCAACATTTTTTTAAGACTTATCGGGCAAGGTCACCTGCAAGGATCGCAATTCGCCGTCGATCTCGCCGAGGACGACGAAGCTCGATGCTTGGGACGAGAGATTCCTCAGCACCAGGGTGTCGTATCGACGAGTATCGACAAAAGTTGTCGGAAAATCGACCAGAGTGAAATCCCCCGTCGTGTTGGGATGATAAATCACCAGCCGAGGAAGGATCACGTTGACCCTGACGGGGACCCTGAGATTTGGCGTCGACTTTATCCTGAAGAAGTCCACATTAGCTCTTGAGAACTATACTACTGCTCCGAAATTGAAATGTGGGTCTAACTATGAAATCAAGCGGCTCACCAGAATTCGCCATAAAAGGAACCTTCTTTTGTCCCTATCAACTCGACTTTAAGGCAAACTGCTCCTCTAGGTCCAACAATTCCTCGCAGAGGCTTCACGTTGATCTCCAGGTCGTTGCTTCCCAGGTCGACGGTGAATCTGTTGGGTAGACGAAGGGTTAAATGAAAACTGTGGGAAGGGAAATGCGACTCTTCAGTTTCTGCAGAATGACTTATTTTGTTTTATATTGCTTTACCTTGTACTTTTGCCTCCGCTGTTTTTGACTGTCAGTATGTTAATTCCTGAAGAACAGCCAATGTCTACGATGCCAAAATCGATCGATGGTGGCTCGATGCTGATGTGCTGCGATGACAATGTGCAAACCACGTGGTAGTCGATTATCTTGCCGTTGATTTCTATGGGGATCATAGCATGCGAGAGGGATGGTCTCTTGAAGGAATAAGTCACCATTCGGATCATGGTTAATCCTGGACTTAACAGAGTTTCACGTTTCAGGGTTTCAACTGTGAATGCCTGTAAATTAATTGATTAAACATTTAAAATTTCACGTAATTTTTTTCCAAAAGTGGATCATCGGTGGCTTTGAAAAAAATTTAATCGCATCGAAGTAAGCTCATCGACTCACCATCGAATTGGGTTCACATATTCTCACAAAAGCTGGCTTTGTTCCAGTATTCTGAAGCGTCATGTGTCTTTTGAAAGTCGTGCCTTCACTAGCATCCTTAAACTCCATAAATTTTGGTCTTATTCGCACTCCATCGTGTACTGTTTCGCCTTCGATTTCTATGGGGTTAGGAAGAGTTCTTAACGTGTCACCTTCATGAGCAGCGATGACGGAACTTCTTACAGGCTTTAATTCCCTTCTTGATTCCTAATAAAAAGAGAATGTTTAAATTAGTAAAAATTAACACTAATTCCAGGTTAGGAAAGATTGATTAACGGGAGAACTGTTACGTAACATGTTAAGGAAACCATCGACAGCGTATTTATTTATTTGATATCTTTTCTGCAGCATTAGAAAATAAGTATTTTAAAATGATTAGAATTAATGTCTAAATATATTAATGAAATGAATCCAAAATACTTACTTTCCTTTTTTGCAGTGCACGCGAGAATTTACTTGTCGTTGTATTAGTCACCGGCATTTTTCGACAATATTTAATATTTCGTCTTATCTAATTCTCTATAATGTCGAATCATCCGTCAAGATTCTTTTCTGTAATTGAAATAGTATCGCGTATTTTTAAAATAGAGCACGAGGTTATGTAGAGAGAATCTTACGGGAAACAGAAAAAGAGACACTCACAAAAATTTACCATGAAACTCGACAGAGTTTTGCGCCAAATACATAAACATGCATATTTCTTTACATAAGTCTTTGCGACAAAATTCAGGCTAGGAATCTGATAGGTAAACAAACTAAAAAATAACTACAAAACGCACTCCTTTTTATTAACAAACAGATTGTTTAACATATAATACAATTTTTCTTCATTTTTATATTCATCGGATGAAAGTAGTAAAAACGAATTTCTTCTAAGATTTCGAGTTTCTTCCAACAGCATCTGCGACGGAATTGAAGCCATCCGTTTTTAATAAATCAGTTAACTCTCTTTTGATCCTGTTAATGACTGGGGGGCCGTGATAAATATACGATGTGTATATTTGGACCAAAGATGCTCCAGCTTTAATTTTGTCGTAAGCATCTGCTCCGGTGAACACACCACCAACACCGATAATGGGAATATTGCCTCCTGTTCGTCTGTACATATCTGATATCATCTTCGTCGATAAATCTGTTAAGGGAGCTCCACTAAGTCCGCCACTTTCTTCTTTCTTAGCATCCATTAAATTCATTCTACTAATGGTAGTGTTCGATATCACCAAACCGTCAACCTTGGATTTTGGATTTTGTATAACATTTACGATATCTTGTCGCTCTGTTTCAGACAAGTCAGGAGCTAGCTTCAATAGCAAAGGTTTATTTATCCCAAAGACTTGCCTGGTTTCATTTAATTTTCTTAACAGATCTTGTAAATTCTCTTTCGCTTGTAAATTGCGCAGGCCAGGTGTGTTAGGACTAGACACGTTTATCACAAAATAGTTTGCTACATCGTGGAACTTCTTTATCCCATCAATGTAATCTTGAACGGGGTCGTTGGATGTCTTATTTTTTCCTAGATTAACTCCAATAATTCCGGAGAAATCAGCATCGTTTTTCACGCTCTTTAAGCGCTCGTACACGGAATCATGCCCATCGCTATTAAAACCATATCGATTTATGATGGCATTGTCGCTTGATAAACGGAACACTCTTGGCTTTGGATTGCCAGGTTGAGGATTTGGTGTAACTGATCCTGTAATTATTACGGTGATAATACAATCGAAAGAAATGTTTTAGTGAAATTATTGCAGGTATATGCAGGTGCGTTTACCTATTTCTACAAAACTAAATCCTATTTTATGTAATCCTTGGACTGCTTCTCCCTGCTTGTCAAATCCAGCAGCTATTCCTACTGGGTTTTTGAATGTCAAGTTCCACAGAGACGTTTTTAAACATGTTGGATCTTCAAATTTTTGGGAAGATATTAGACCATACTTGACGGCAGTAACGGCAACCTTGTGAGCCACTTCTGGATCTATCAGACGTACTAATGGCATCGCTACTTCTTCGTAAAACTTTTCGTTGCCTTGGTAGAGACATATTCCACCAAATAGTGCAATGCTTGTACTTGTTACTCTCAATAGCGATTTGATTTTATGCTTCAGGGAGGTACGCCCTGCCATTTTTGGGCTTTAAAAATCAGTACAGCATGTGCCGATTGATATTATACTCTGGAATGAAATAATAATGAGTTAATTTAAATCAGTTGTCTGAAAATGAATATAATTTAAATTACAAATATAATGTGTGCTGCGAGAGATGCTCTCCATAATTGCAATTGTTTACATGTAACAAAGTATGTATCGTTTGTCAAGCATTTTCATGAAACAATACGAGAATGCCATTAAAACAATAACAAGTAGAAATTTTGCAAGAATTTCTACTTGTTATTGTTTTATACTTTCAAATGTACGTACCACGTGGATTTGCGTTTTAGGTTATGGTTAATTGTAATCCACCGCATGTTAAAAAAACAGATTCAAGGATATTCATTAATTATTTCACATAGGCCAAGATGGTAACTCAATAAATAACAAATTACGTATAAACAATCGTTTATGTAAAAGAGATGTTTGTTTTTCTTTTTCCATTAATCGTACTTGACGAAGTCACTCTCATTGGTCAATTCCCCTAGATTATAAAATTTAGCGGTTTCATTCAATTGGTTCAGAAGAAATGTACATACATACGTAATTGAATTCAAATAGTATCCTGAAATCTGATTGGTGTTTCCGATATAGCTAACCTGCGATTGAAGAATTACACACAGTTGACAAATCAGAAAGCAGAGGTTATGTTACTCCGGTTCCCCTTAGTAGACAACTGCACGTGGACTCTTCTGAGAGTTTGGGAAAGTGTTTACAATCTGCAACATTTAGCGAAACAAAACTAAAATATGGCGGTAACTATATAATTAATAATATTACAATAATAATTTATAAGTAGATAATGAATATATTATGCACTCTTGATACTTTCATGCATTTCATGTGCCTTGTTTATTTTGCGATGCAGAAGCGAGCTAAGGCAAAGATCAGCAAAGTTAAAAGGAACAACCAGACTCGGTCCAAACTTATGCGGCAGGGTAAAATCAAAGCTCGTCGTCATAGGAAATCAACAAAGAATGCGCTACCAGGGTCTCAAAATGTTCCTGCTCAAGAACCAGAAGAAGAAATTACGGGAGAAGATATGCTGGGCATGGTCCAGCAAGATGACTTAGACTTCTTGAAATCGGCTGTTTCGAACAAATCGTACAGCATTCTGAAGCAGATACAATCAAAGTATATTTAATAGAAAGTTATAAGTATGTAACATAGGATTCAGTTTTATTGAGAACTTATAATTTGGAGCACGTTTTAGGTCGGAAAAGGGTAAACCAAACGGAGCAGTTGGGAAAAGGAAATTGGATCAAGAACTGGAAGATCGATATGAAGAGGAGATGTCTAAAATGACTGCCGAGGGTGCTAGGAAAAGAGTGCGTGCATTGCTACCGTTAAAAGCCAGGGATGGTTCTCTAAAAGTACAAATAATTGAGGAAGAAGATGACGACGAAAAAGTCAAAGATAACAATGAAGATAATTTTAGGAACGATTCAAATGAGAATGATGAAAAAGGAAGCGAGGTAAAAGTAAAGTGTAGTCTTTCGTTACTTAAGTTTTTCTATAATCGTAAATTTAATTTATCCTCACTATGATCTTAGAATGAAGAAAATGCAGATAACAATACTGTAATGTCAAGAGCTCAATTGTGGGCGCAGAGAGAAGAATCGGTACAAACACGGAAGTTGAAGATCGGAACGCTTTGTAGTGGTCTCCTGGAAAGTCCGGAGTTAAAGTCTGAAAATTTTAAACCACTGCTAGAACTAATGGATGATTACCATTCGGGAAGAAGTATCACCGTTAGAAAACTAGCAACTGTATCACTCATGGAAGTGTTCAAAGATTTGTTACCATCTTATCACATAACGCAAGTCGAACAAGAAGGTGTAAAATGTAAGTTGATACGCCATGTGATTATGTTCACAAACTAAACTATCGTCTGCGATTCCTCCATGTAATGTTTCTCTTTTCTTCTAGTTAAAAAGGACACTTTGCAACTTCAGAAATATGAAGCTGCCCTACTAAAGAATTATCGACTCTACTTACAGAAATTAGAGAAGATCGCAGGTATGTTAAGGAAAAGGAAAAAGGGCGATCATCGTATCGTAGGTGAACAAGAAATCACTTTAGGAGAAGTCGCTGTGGGTTGTATGTGTGATCTACTGGCTACTCATCCTTACTTCAATTTTTCCATGAATATTGCAAATTTTCTTATTCCATTGCTGGATAGTAAGTACTCAAACGTCAGAGAACGTGTAGCAAGCTGCTTCATTGGAATCTTTAAGGAAGACAAACGTGCAGAACTGACTCTGACGGTAAGATCAGCGTTTGAATAAAAAGATGTTTCATTTATTTGAAGCCTTTTATTAAGTACATTGCAAAGAAATTTTACATTCCAGATAGTACGACGACTAAATCAATATATAAAATCCAGAGGGCATTCCGTACACTCGGAGGTGTTATCGGTTTTGATGGGCCTTCGTATAAAAGACATTAACTTGGATCAAGAAAAGGACGAAGAGACTAAACGCAAGAAATTAATGTCCCACAAGCAAAGAATCCTGTCACTTAGCAAGCGAGAGCGAAAGAAGAATAAACAGTTGGAACAGGTTGAGAAAGAATTGCTCGAGACCAAAGGCGAGGAGAATAAGCAGCGCAAACAGCAAACTCTAACAGAAATAATCAAAGTGGTCTTCACAATCTACTTCAGAATTCTCAAACAGGCACCGAACAGTAAAGTTCTGTCCGTCAGTTTGGAAGGTTTAGCGAAGTATGATATTCTAAGATCACGTTATGATTTTAAGATTAACGATGAATATTTTTCCACACTTTTGTATTTCTTTCAGATTTGCCCACTGTATAAATCTGGATTTTTATCAAGATTTAGTGAATGCGCTGGATACGGTGATGGGAACTGTCAACTTAGGGTTGAGAGAGCAACTTCACTGTGTCGAAACAGTTTTCACCATCTTGTCGGGACAAGGAAGTGCATTGAACATCGATCCCTATAAGTATGAATTTATATTCTCTCCATTTAAATTTTCTTTTTTAATAAATCAGCATTAATTAAGTTGAAACAATTCCTTTTAGATTTTATTCCCACTTGTATAAAAACCTATTAAGGGTTCACTGTGGGAAAAGTAATGCAAATATGGAAATCGTCATTAGGATATTAATTCGAGTGTTGATCGATCGACGAAAGAAGATTATTCAAAGCAGATTAATCGCGTTTGTTAAAAGAATAGCCACCTTGACTCTTCAGGTTCAGCATCACGGTGCAGTTGCGATACTAGCTGTTATCAGGACTATTTTGCAGCTTGGAAAAGCTGCGGATGTTTTGTTAGATACTGAAAGTACTACAGGGGACGGGTTTTATAATCCTGAACTGGAAGAACCTGAATACTGCAATGCGCACTGTTCAACCATGTGGGAGCTCGTTTGTCTACAGGTATTTTCCTCTTCAATTATAATCACTGAGTTAGAAGAGCTTTTTATCGATTAGTTTTATTTTCTTCCACATTTAGAGGCACTATCACCGCACAGTACAAAAATTTGCGAAGAATATAGCAGCGAGGGTTCCTACAATTGGCGAAGACAGCATACCTTTAGAGATTTCCAAACTGTGAGTATTGGCACTTATCTGTCATGTCGATGAATATTAAATTCTTTAGTGTAATTATACCCATATAACGTTAATGATTTAGATCACCAGAAGAGCTCTATGCCCGATTCGATCCTTCCGGTGTTGCGTTTGAACCTCCCGTACCAGTGCCTAAAAAAGCAGCTCCCAAGAAATTACCAAACAAGCCTATTTTTGCAAACCATTTATTTAAGGACTACATCGATGCAGTGTTTACAGATAAGTTAAGCGATAAGGATGTAGATATGGACTTTTCAAAGGCTATTAAGTGGAGATAATAAAAAGCGATACCAGCTTGCCAATATTTGGCAATTAAATTCATTCTTGTGCAGTGTGGTGTATAAATAAGTGTGTTAGATCAATATCAACTTTGATTAAATTTTAATTTAAGAAACTGTTTACTTCGATTTTAGTTTATTTTAGTTTATTTTGCGTCGAGATTTTTGTTTCTGCACTTTGAAGCCTGTTGGCTAATTGTCTGTTTCTGACGTCGTGACGTCAGAGGTCGTGGTCGGTCCGACTATGAAGAGTTTCCAATCTAGGTTCTTTCTGTGAATGTGGCCAAAAATTTGTTTACTTGAAGACGCAGCGCGAGAATGCGATATAACCTAATTCTGTGTTTCCTGCCGATTTTGTCCGTTTTTATTGTCGATTTTTGTATCTTTGCTTAAGGCAGTGTTATTTTAAAGTACAAAGAGTGTTTCTTAAGGAAATACGCGTTCAAATATGAAGTATTGAGAAACCGACATAACCTATACGTTGACTTCCGTATGGAATTATTGTTAATATTGTTTTTAAACGACATCCGAAGAGGAGACTCTTTGTGAGAGCATCGAGCAGGTACGTACTGTTTCTGTTGAGTTTTCAGCTCTTTTAATATCTAACCTATAAATTAGAGGTTTTTTGGGAAAATCATGTAATCTTACTACTTTATTAATGTATCCTGTAAGATAGATTGTAAGTTGATGTTTCATATTTCAGAGATAACTTGTACATAATGTCGGATGATGAGGATCTTGTTTACGTTAAGAAACAAAAGACCGTTCATTATGGCTCTCTCGAGGAGGCCGAGCGCGTTCGCCTTGCGGCGGCGGCGACCGAATCTTCCGAGGAGGAGAAAGATAATGCAAATGGTACCGACGCACCTGTTAATGCAATGTCGGCAGGGAATGTACACATTTCTAATGAGTACATGGAATTGGAAGATGAAATGTCAAAGGACAGACAAGCCTTGCTTGAGGAGTTTGAGAGGCGGAAGAAAGCGAGGCAAATTAATGTATCAACGGACGACTCTGAAGTTAAGAGGAATCTGCGACAATTGGGAGAGCCGATATGTTTGTTCGGAGAGGGTCCCGCGGATCGCAGAACTAGGCTAAGGGAATTATTAGCGAGTCTCGGAGAAGATGCGATTAAAAAGAAACATGATGAGGAAGAGAGACCGACTCATCCCATGGAAAGAGACTCCGAGACAACTTGGTATCACGAGGGACCTGAAGCGCTGCAAATTGCTCGTTCCTGGATAGCGAGTCAGTAACTATCATTACCCCATTAATAACCTCACTTTTTATAAATGGAATGAAACAATAAACTGGATTTTCTTTTCAGCATATTCATTACCTCGAGCAAAAGCCAGGCTGGAAAAAGCGAGGCAGGACTTGGAACTTCCAGGGGCAACTCGCACCGCTCGCAGACAAGAGCTTTTGAAAAAGTTGCAAGCTCTGAGTATATATTGTTCGCAAATTGGCGACACCAGGCCTATTTCTTACTGCCAATTCAGTCCCAATTCGGAGATCCTTGCAACTGCTTCGTGGTCCGGATTGTGCAAGTTATGGTCCATTCCAGATTGTACTTTATTGCGAACGCTTAAAGGGCATGCATGTAACGTTGGTTGTATTGTGTTTCATCCCAAAGCTATGGTAACGGATGAAATCGTTGGTGAGAGCCCTGGACGGACTTGTGTGCTCGCGAGTTGCGCGGCAGATGGTAATATTTGATTATTCACTGAATTATAATTTACTTTTAATATATTTTCATGCATACTTAAGGTGGTACAAAAGTACCATTTGAAGGTTCCGTTTTTGAAACTTCCTTTCTAGCGTTAGAAATATATTTCTTCCACAGGAAGTGTAAAACTATGGAGCGGTGGAAAAGGTGAAGAGCCTTTGGCAGACGTGGAGGGCCACGAGCCTCACAGAGTGTCACGAATAGCATTTCATCCATCGGGCAGGTTCCTCGGCACATGCTGCCATGACGCTTCCTGGCGACTTTGGGATCTCGAGCAGCAAGTCGAAGTGCTTCATCAGGAGGGCCACGCCAGAGCGGTGCACTGTATAAGGTAATCATTTAATGACTTTCACTTTTCAACCTTGAAATTAATAATATAATTTAAAAATTCCTGTTTTCCAAATGGGCTATTCTCGTAAAATTCTCGCCATGTGGGCTGTAGCCCATTTGATTTTTTTTCTTCTAAGAAAAGAATTTATTTAAATATTTTGACACTACAGCTTCCAGTGTGACGGCAGTGTCAGTGCGACAGGAGGTCATGACTCCTTCGGCAGAGTTTGGGACCTTCGGACTGGTCGATGCATCATGTTCATGGAGGGCCACTTGAAGTCAGTCTTCGGCATTGATTTCTCGCCTAATGGATTCCACATAGCTACGGCGAGCGAAGACAATTCCTGCAAAATCTGGGACTTGAGGAAACGAGCCTGCATTTACACGATCCCTGCACATACGAACCTCCTTTCGGATGTTAAGTACCAGAGGACCGAGGGCCAGTATCTAGTGACTGCTTCTTATGACAATACTGCCAAGATCTGGTCGAACAAGACTTGGCAGCCGCTCAAGACTTTGCCGGGACACGACGGCAAAGTAATGTCGGTCGACGTCTCGCCGGACCACAGATTTATCGTCACGTCCTCTTACGACAGGACCTTTAAATTATGGGCCCCTGAAAGCGTGTAGTTCTGTTACCGGCCACGAGGAGGCGCGCCGTTACGAAGAGACGCGTCCACGTGGAGGCCCTCGATCCCGGCCTCGCCGAGGATGTTTATAGAGCAGGGATTTTATTTATTCGGAGCAGCTTGGAACCGTTCTATGCTCGTGTTTCGGAAATCTCAGCTTTATAAGCTGCTGGGAATTTAATTGTAAATCTATCCAGGCCGGATTTCAAGCGCAGGACGGCGGGAGGAAATGATTGTGACCTCTCGCATCTTCCCGAATAAATGACATCCTAGTCCCTTGGGATATTTAACGAGACCGAGTTGATTCACTGGAGAGGATTAAGGTGAAATGAAAATTCCCCTCAAGTCAGTCGATTCGAATGACACTTTTTTTTTCCTCTAAATGGCCGTCGTAATGTCTAAAAAGTAGTCGTAGAGGGGAACTCATTACGCTACTTTATGACTTTACCTGCACTACTAGAGAGATACGAAGGTCCTGGATAGGTTCTTTTCGGAAATCTTCAAGGCCTGACCCTGTCAGCTTGCCTTATCACGCCCGTCTTGGCGCGATAAGAGGCTTATCGATAAAAGAAAACCATCTGCCCGTAAAATGCAAATCGACGTGCAGCGATCTTGCGCGGTGATTGCGCAAAGCGGAAGCCTCGTGGACCCTGATCCGATGAAGATGGACCGTTCATTTTCTTTCTATCTCTTACAGCAAGAGCCTTAATATTCTTGAGATTCTTAAAATTCCTCAGACTCTCGGCATTCTTTCATCCTTAACGAAAGAAACTAACGATAAGCGCCGTTTATCTCTCCTATTTACGATCTTGTGAAAAGAGCAATTGCACTCAATGCATCTACATATAATTGCAATCCCGCCTGTAAAAATTAATATCAAATCCAGAGTAGCTTCTAAACAACGCGTACAGTCTTCTCCTTCATCTCTTGCGGTTATTAAAAATAAACTGGAAATGAAAAATCGGAAAAAAGGATTGTTAGCCGTCGCCGACGTCCGTGATGGATTAAGGGGGAGTCGGATCGAAACCACTCGGGGGCGACTTCTTTTTTTTTTCTACTCATCTTTTTTTAATAATTTGTCCGGGCTTTTGTTGCACCCCGTGTATGCATTTGTTGCAATTGCACTGGATGGTGCATCTTCGTTTAAGCGCGTTGTGAAGAATGGCCCTCTGTCCTGCCGGATAATTTAATGTGCTATATTTCGGGGACTTTTACGCACTTTTTTAGCCCGGCTTGTCCCGCCGACCGTTTTTACGCATCTTTTTGTTATAAACAATTCCCCGCACCGTGGGGGGATTAGCGTTCTACGGAATTCTCTGCCGCTTCTCTACGAAGCTTTTTTCCAGTTTATCGACCACGTTCCTTGAAGGTTCGAATTAATTTTCGTAGCGAGGTCGAGAGCGAGGCGAATCTCGGAAATCGAGACGAGATTCGGGAGAACCTCGACCTCGCTTCTGTCCATTTTTTTAGAAGATTGAAAAGCTTCTTCTTCGCCGCTGCAGCGCGCAAGGTCCTTGCGCTCTGCACCAGGGTGAAGCCTTGAAGAGGCCTCGTCGGGTCGTTGTCTGAATTTCATGCGGAGCTTTCGATGGGCAAGGTCTCGTGAACGAAGGAGCAGGGTCCTCCTTCTGCAAAGTCGGAAGCTGCGTGTCCATTTCCGGTCAGGACCCACTTTGTCGTCAGGAGGCCGTCGACTCCGACAGGACCTCGGGCGTGGATGCGAGCGGTGGAGATGCCGACCTGAGGAAGCAGATTTTCATGAAATGAAATGAAATGTTTGTAATGGTAATGGTGATGATGATTTTTAATTCACTACAGGGATGAACATGAAGAGCGCAGTAATGATTTTTAATTGGTCTCAGGGATAAATCCGAAGAGTGCAATGATGGCGATTTTTAATTGACTCGAAATAATAAATCTGAAGAGGGTAATGATAATTTTTAATCGATTTCAGGGATGAACTCGAAGAGGGTAATGATAATTTTTAATAGCTTCCAAATATGAACCCGAAGAGTGTGATGATAATTTTTAATGGCTTCCAGGGATGAACCCGAAGAGTGTAATGATAATTTTTAATCGCTTCGAGGGATGAACCCGAAGAGTGTAATGATAATTTTTAATCGATTTCAGGGATGAACTCGAAGAGGGTAATGATAATTTTTAATGGCTTCCAGGGATGAACCCAAAGAGTGTAATGATAATTTTTAATCGCTTCCAAATATGAACCCGAAGAGTGTAATGATAATTTTTAATCGCTTCCAAATATGAACCCGAAGAGTGTAATGATAATTTTTAATCGCTTCCAAATATGAACCCGAAGAGTGTAATGATAATTTTTAATCGGTTCCAAATATGAACCCGAGGAGTGTAATGATAATTTTTAATAATTTCCAGAAATGAACCCGAAGAGTGTAATGATAATTTTTAATAGCTTCCAAATATGAACTCGAAGAGTGTAATGATAATTTTTAATGGCGTCCAAATATGAACCCGAAGAGTGTAATGATAATTTTTAATCGCTTCCAAATATGAACCCGAAGAGTGTAATGATAATTTTTAACCGCTTCCAAATATGAACCCGAGGAGTGTAATGATAATTTTTAATCGCTTTCAAATATGAACCCGAGGAGTGTAATGATAATTTTTAATAATTTCCAAATATGAACCCGAAGAGTGTAATGATAATTTTTAATCGCTTCCAAATATGAACCCGAAGAGTGTAATGATAATTTTTAATCGCTTTCAAATATGAACCCGAAGAGTGTAATGATAATTTTTAATCGCTTCCAGGGATGAACCCGAAGACTGAAATAACGATGACGATGACGGATATGATCACGATTCATAATCGATTTCAGGGATGAACCCGAGGAGCGCAAGACGCCCCAAAGGTGGAGGGCGGGTTTCGAGGGTGAGATTTCCTTTCCTTCCTTTTCAAGGAGGAAAGGCAGGAGGGGATTTCAGAGACGAAGAGTGAGTTACTCACCTCGGCACCGAGTCCGAAGCGATATCCATCAGCGAATCGAGTGCTGGCGTTGTGGAAGACGCAAGCACTGTCGACCTCCCTCTGGAAATGTCCGGCCCTACGTTCGTCCTCGGTGACGATTACGTCGGTGTGTCCGCTTCCGTACTTGTGGATGTGACCGATGGCATCGTCGAGGTCGGGCACCAGCTCGATGGTGCACTCCAGGGAGCCGTACTCGGTCTTCATGCTCTTCGCCGCAGGTGGGCCGAAGGTGAGCTGCTGACGGAGTCTAGGTCCAGCATTGATCTTGACCTGGGAGGGACAAAAGGTGATATCAATGATTACCATTACCCCCTTCTGGTACGACTTAATCATGAAAATGTAGGTTTTCACGAAAATCGTCATTTTTCCGCAAGAGGTTGATGGCGATTAAGGATCTTAAGGCGAAATGAAACCTCCCTCAGATCAGTCGATACGAGTAAGAGACATTTTTTATGGGGTTTTAACTGTATGTCTCTTCGAAAAATGCAATTCCGTGAGTTTCAAGACCTTCATTAGGACTTCCATAGTCACGTTGTAAAGTTTAAAACGATTCGGTTGATCCAGTCCGGAGAAAAGTGTCGCGTCCCCTCAGATGCCACTTTCGCACCCCCTTAATGTAGCCGATGGAACTAACCCCTTCCTTCTGCAGCATGTTGCAGACATCGGTGAAGAAAGAGCCCTGCATATGGCTCTCGTGGATGAGCAGAGTCTCCATGGCATTGCAAGCAGCAGGATAATCGCACTTGGAGTCCCTGACGATCTTAAGAGCCTTGGTGAGGTCGGCATCCTTATCAACGAAGACATGGCAGATGCCCTCGGCATGTCCCAGGACAGGGATGTGTTTGGACTGCTCCTGGATGCTGCGGACCAGCTCGGAGCTGCCTCTGGGGATGATAAGGTCGATGTGCTTCTCCATGGAGAGGAGGTCGCCGATCTCCTCCCTGGTGGAGACCAAGGAGATGGCGTTGGACGCCCCGACGCTGGTCAGCGCCTCCTGGACCAGGTCCATCAGACACCTGTTGCTGTGGGCAGCTTCCTTTCCTCCCTTCAGAAGGAGTCCATTGGCGCTGGACATGGCCAAGGCGGCGACCTGGGGCAAGCTATCCGGCCTGGACTCGAAGATGACCAGCAGGACTCCAATCGGCACCGTGATCTGCCTGAGCTCCAGACTGTCTGCCAATTTGGTCCTTCGAAGGACCCTACCCACGTTCGTTAGGGAGCTGTCTGCGATCTGACGGAGTCCTGCACTCAGGGACTTCAGCTTCGACGGGGTCAACGATAACCTGGAGAGCAGCGCCTTCGCTAGTCCGGATTTCTGGGCCTCCTCGAGGTCCTTCCTGTTCGCCTCCAGGATGTCGGATTGCTTCGAATGCAAAAGGTCGGCCAGGGTGTTGATGCAGTTGGCTCGGTCCTCAGGACGCAGGGATTGCAGGACTCTGCCTCCCACGCGGGCTGTGGAAGATTATGGGTGAGGTCCTGATAAGCTTTTCCATCCTTAAGGCGATGGGAAAGTGCCGTCAAGGAGGTCTCGTTTACGACCCTTTTGAAACTTAAAGCGAATGTTGGAGGCCGTAAGGAAGTCCTGACCCCCATGAGATAAAAATTTTTTTATAATTTGTTCACAGACATTTTTGACATGTGTAAAAAAATGAAGTTTCATGACTGTCGGAACCTTCCTTATAGCCTCCATGTTCAGGATATTAAATTTCAAACGATTCGGTTCATCCAGTTCGATGAAAAGTGTTATTTCTCCTCAGATGGCACTTTGACGTCCCCTTAAGGGAACGAGATTTTTTTTCACCACGTGTATAAGGTAACCAACCGTTTTCAGCGACGACCTCGACCGGCGCCGAGGAGCTGGCGGTCTCCGTGAAGAAGGTGCCGATCTTCCGCCCCCCCAGGATGCTCTTGATGGCTTTATCCTGCATGCCGTTGCAGATGACCACCGAGACGCCCCTCTCCAAAGCCCAGAGAGCCGAATGCACCTTGGAGTCCATGCCACCGGTGCCGACCTTGGACTTCTCCCCGAACTTGATGGCGCCCCCCAGGTCCTGGCTGAAGGTGTGCAACAGTTTCGCTCCATCTTGCCAGGGTGGCAGGTTGTAGATCCCGTCTACGTCGCTCATCAGGATCAGCAGGTCGGCCTGCACCTCGGCAGCCAACATGGCGGCCAAGGAGTCGTTGTCCTTGATCGAAATCCCTCGTCGACCTCCACCTCCGGCCACTTCTTCGTCTGCCTGTGGAGGTGGCGACACCGCGTCGTTGGTGTTGATGATAGGGACGATGTTCAGGCTTATCAGCTCGCTCAAAGTGCTGAAGAGGTTCTTCCTGGTCTCCTCGTTGTAGAAGTCCGGCTTCGTCACCAACACCTGCGCCAGCTTGACGCCATATTGCGCGAACATGGCGTCGTAGAGCGACATCAGACCCGATTGGCCCACTGCTGCGGCTGCTCTGGGCTCCAACAGAGTCCCTAATGTAGGGATGCGAATCGTCAGCGACCGTTCCTCCACCCATGCATACTTATGAGGGACTCCTAGGATGTCTGTCGTCACCTGAGTCCGCCATTTTTTTCGAAATTTATACTAAAAATTGCGGAATTTAGCCGCGCGGTTTAACAAGCGACTTCCTTGGTGAAAATGGAGGCGGAAAGTCCTTTGCCATTTTTTTCTAAGACTCTTGGTTTGCCTGTAATCGGCGATCGAAAAGCGACCAATCAGAGACGGGGGCTGTGACGTGATCGACCGATCGGCGCACCTGATTGGCTGCTCTTCAATTCAAGATTACTTGCAAATTAGACCTCGCAGAAAGAAATGGTAAAGGACTTTTCGACTTCGTTTTCAAAGAGGATTGCAGAGGTGTAAACCTTGATCGCTAGTTTGTTGTTAGGTGTGTATTAACGTTTGTATGGGGACTCTGGTGACGAGAGGTAGCCTTGGAGCCCTTCTAACTTATTGTTATAGAATGTTTAACATAGATGATATGCGATGATAATTGTCCAAATGCATTCTCTTCGAGATTTCGAATAACTTTTCCCGCCTTTCTTCGTATGCCATCGAACTGGGAGTTTTTCATTCAAAGTGAAGTATAGTTCACAGTGACGATCTAAATAATGGGACGAGCCCCTGTTTCCGATTATGCACAATCTGTTATCAATTTCCATATCTCGAGGAACCTTCAGTCGAGGCCGAACAACAGCTTCGGAATTGCACAACGAGACGTCATCTCGTCTGGGATCTCAAGATTGCAAAATTATTAGAGTCTGAGAATGAAAAATGGAGGATAATATATAATGATAATTTAACGCGTGAATATATATATATTTTTTTTTCAATTTTTCATCCGAGACATTCCTTTGTGATTATGGTTTGATAAGGTCCCCTTTAAGAGGGCTGTCTCTTTTTAGGGGTGCGTGATAAGGGCAAGGATCTCGCGTTTCGCGGGGGGTCGCTGAAAGGGGACTTTTCTCGTGGCGATGATATTATTTTCAAGACAGCCGTGGAACATTTGCGCTATCGGGGGGAGGGAAGAGTGCGAAAAGAGATGAGATAACGAGCGGAAAGATCAAAGGGGACTTTTAGCTACTGCAGTTTCTTCAGCCTCTCGCCAAAGCAGACCTAAAGGCTCAAAGCATTATTATTAGTATTATTTTCGCGTTTAATCTCGATAATATAACCAGCCTAATGGAGATCTGGGGAGGCTGCGAAATTCTGCTCCTCAGGGTACGATCTTAAAAAATCTCGTCCTATCCGGGATTTTATTATTTTTATCCTCGTAGGCAGATAAAAATCGACGTACGTGAAAGTAGCATCAATGAAATTTCATTTTTCTTAAATTGTTTATACGCAATTTTAAAATTTATTTTTATACAATTGATAATTCTTGGCTGTCAGGACCTTCTACTCTTCAGGGTACGATCTTAAAAAAATCTCGTCCTATCCGGGATTTTATTATTTTTTTCCTCGCAGGCAGATAAATATCGACATAGCGTGAAAGCAGCACCTATGAAATTTCATTTTTATTAAATTGTTTATACGCAATTTTAAAATTTATTTTTATAAAATTGAAAATTCTTGGCTGTCAGGACCTTCTACTCTTCAGGGTACGATCTTAAAAAAATCTCGTCCTGTCTGGGATTTTATTATTTTTTTCCTCGCAGGCAGATAAATATCAACGTGGCGTGAAAGTAGCACCAATGAAATTTCATTTTTTTTAAATTGTTTATACGCAATTTTAAAATTTATTTTTATAAAATTGAAAATTCTCAGCTGTTGGGACCTTCCTTGGAGCTTCCACCTTCATGTGTTAAAGCTTTTTATTTATTTTCTGGATTCAGTTTGGAGAATAGTGTCAAACGGTTGACCCCTCGGGTGGCGCTTTCACATCCCCTTAAATCGTAAAAATCGGCCAGAAATGATTTCTCAGGACGAAGAGTCCTCTGAAGACTTTTCGTGGGGAGATTGGCGAAGTTCAGGGGAAGTTCCGGTTCCGCGGTGCGTCCGTAAAGTTCGCAGTTGGAGTAGTTAGACGGTTTAATTAGGGACTTAACAAGTGGCTTGTTTTAGTTTCGAGTCCGCCTATGAGCTCGTCTGAATCCGAACCACTGGAAAAGGGCATTAACGAGGACCAGGCGTCAAATATTTGCCTCACTCGATCGTTTAATCGCGTCCAGGGCAGACTTTGTTCTCCCGACACCTGTGGCGCGATTGGTTCCCTTCCGTGATAGCGCTTATCAACGAGTGACAATCGAAAACGCGGCGCGCTTCCTCCTGCTTCCGGTGGGAATTCTAACGTACACGGAAGTTCCCTGATCATGTTTGTTGAATAATGCAAAAGCAACATTTATAATTTTTTGAAAAATGCAGTCGTAATTTAAATTCATTTTTTAAATGCAGTTGTAATCGTTATCAGGTCAGGGCTACTTGATGCAATCAAAAGGACATATATTATCCTTGAAGAAGGGTGGGAAAAATTCGCATATCAAAGTTCTAGATAACGAGGATGCAAAAGCAACATTTATAATTTTTTGAAAAATTCAGTCGTAATTAATTTTTTTTTTTAATGCAGTAATCGTTATCAGGTCAGGACTATTTGATGCGATCAAAAGGACTCGTGTTATCCTTGAAGAAGGGTGGGAAAAATTCGCATATCAAAGTTCTAGATAACGAGGATGCAAAAGCAACATTTATAATTTTTTTAAAAATGCAGTCGTAATTTAAATTCATTTTTTAAATGCAGCTGTAATCGTTATCAGGTCAGGGCTACTTGATGCAATCAAAAGGACATATATTATCCTTGAAGAAGGGTGGGAAAAATTCGCATATCAAAGTTCTAGATAACGAGGATGCAAAAGCAACATTTATAATTTTTTGAAAAATGCAGTCGTAATTAATTTTTTTTTTTTAATGCAGTAATCGTTATCAGGTCAAGACTACTTGATACAATCAAAAGGACATATATTATCCTTGAAGAGGGGTGCGAAAAGTTCACATAACAAAGTTTTACATAACGAACATGCAAAAGCAACATTTATAATTTTTTGAAAAATGCAGTCGTAATTAATTTTTTTTTTTAAATGCAGCTGTTATCGTTATCGGATCAGGACTACCTGCGTGCTCTCTGGTGTGATCTGCAGGACTCAGGGTCTCCCTCATGGAAAGAGACATGAGGAGCTCCTGGGTGAGCTTTTGCTTGCCAAAAGCCACCGCTCCACTGGTCACCATGATGCATTCTCTACCCTCGTTTTGGCATTCGGCGACCTGCTCGACGATGGAGGCGAGTCTTCCCAGGGCGAGGCCGTGCTCATCTTCTCGCGTTATCACTGCGCTTCCCAACTTCACCACGAGTCTTCTTGCGTACTTTAATTGGTTCCTCTCGGTGAACGTCGACCTGCGTGGCCTGTTGGCGGTCTGCAGAGCTCGGCGGGAGTCTCTTGCCTTGAATTAATTATTCAGATAATTAATCGATCTGATAATGTTATCAAAATGAGACTAGAGGAAGAAAGACATTCGCGAGAAATACAGAACTGTGAATTTCTGCTATTTTAGGGTCTCTTGAAAATTTTCTATTTTTCAAATCTGCTTGAAAATGAAATTAGAAAAGAGAAGATTCTCCGCGATTTGCCTTGAATTAATTATTCAGAAAATTAATCGATCTGATAATGTTATCAAAACGAGACTCTTGAAAATTCTCTATTTTTCTGCTTGAAAGTGAAATTAAAAAAGAGAAGATTCTCCGCGGTTTCCCTTAATTAATTATTCAGAAAATTAATCTATCTGATAATGTTATCAAAATGAGACTAGAGCAAGAAAGACATTCGCGAAAAATGCAGAACTGTGAATTTCTGCTATTTTAGGGTCCCTTGAAAATTCTCTATTTTTCAAATCTGCTTGAAAGTGAAATTACAAAAGAGAAGATTCTCCGCGGTTTCCCTTAATTAATTATTCAGAAAATTAATCAGTCTGATAATGTTATCAAAACGAGGCTAGAGGAAAAAAGACATTCGCGAGAAATACAGAACTGTGAATTTCTGCTATTTTAGGGTCTCTTGAAGATTCTCTATTTTATTTTCCCCTTTTTTTAATTTGCTTTCAAGAGTATAATTAGGCACAGTGATATAAACGCGATTAGCCTTATTTTCCACATTTTCAAATTTTCATTCAAGCGTATAATTATGTCCAGTGACATAAACGTGATTAGCTGTTCCCCTTCCTCCTCCAGGCGACAGGAACCGAATTAACAATTTTCCCTGCCTCCGTTAATTATTTTTAATAGTAGTATAAGAGCATAATTAGGCACAGTGATATACGTGATTAGCCTTATTTTCCACATTTTCAAATTTTCATTCAAGCGTATAATTATGTCCAGTGACATAAACGTGATTAGCTGTTCCCCTTCCTCCTCCAGGCGACAGGAACCGAATTAACAATTTTACCTGCCTCCGTTAATTATTTTTCTCGTCCCCCAAGAAATTCCCCAGGTCCAAGCCGGCAAGTAAGGTGCCAAAAAATGCAAAAATGAATTTTCTAATCCACGAGGAAGATATTATTCGACATTTTCGGTGTCGCCGTTAATGCGGCCTCGTCGTTTAACGTCAACGAGAGTAACGTCGCGGTAAACGTGGAGCCCTTAAACCGGCAATAATTCATGTCCCTCGAGAGAAGGTGCGAAAACCTGGCCCAGACATCCAGATGATATAACGAGGCATAATTAAAAGGAATATAAATGAAGGGAAGAAAAATTACGAAGAGAAAAGGAAAACGGAACGTATAGACAACGTATCGTCAACATTGACGTCAAAGACGAGAGATACGCGAAGAGCCGAAAAAAGTCTCGATTAATTAAACGGATCGATCGAAGGCCAATCGGAGGTTCCATTCAGCGTTAATTAGCTCTAAGAGTGTGCTCGGTACACGAGCGATTAAATTATCGAGCCGCCATCGGCGAAATCGCACTATCTAACGCGAGGCTGATAACATTGATAAGGGACGTCACTTGTTTCTCCCGGGGATTTTCACGGATTCTCCGCGTGCTTTTCCAGTTTCCTCGTACACAATGTTGCATCGGGATACTCCTTACTTGTAATCCTTATCATTAACATTGATATTCATTTCAGAAGTGGAACGCTCTAAGTGTTAAGAGGCTGATAAGGAAAATTGGGATGCTCATTATTTCCGGTTTTGGGGTCGAAATTATTTCTCGCGGTTCATTATTCACGGTTAAAGTGAAATTAATGTTAAAGTAAAGGGAATTTCACGGGCACAATTTTTTATTCGAATTAATGTTAATTGTTGTTAACGTAAATTAATTTTTGCGCGTGTTAAGGGGCTGATAAGGAAAATTGGGATGCTCATTATTTCCGGTTTTGGGGTCGAAATTATTTCTTGCGGTTCATTATTCACGGTTAAAGTGAAATTAATGTTAAAGTAAAGGAAATTTCACGGGCGTAATTTTTCATTCGAATTAATGTAAATTAATTTTCGCGCGTGTTAAGAGGCTGATAAGGAAAATTGGGATGCTCATTATTTCCGGTTGTAAGGTCGAAATTATTTCTTGCGGTTCATTATTCACGGTTAAAGTGAAATTAATGTTAAAGTAAAGGGAATTTCACGCGCGTAATTTTTCATTCGAATTAATTGTTGTTAATGAAAATTAATTTCCAAGTTCGGGAGCTCTGCGGGGGTAAAAAGCGTCATTTATCTCTGCATGTATATGCAGATAGATATGCATGTTCCATATATAGGATCTGTGCATGGAATGATATCGTGTGAGTCGTTTGCGAGGATTTTACTCCACTGGCGTAAATTACGACGCACTGACAGTACTCCTTGTCGACGACGTCCCAACAGGGAGACTTCACGTGCAGTTGCTCGAGGACCTCGAAAAAGAAATAAGGGTTGTTCAATTTTCACTCTTCAGGGTGATTTAGGGGTGACTCTCGAGCCTGGAAAAAATTTCTCCTGGAAATCCTGACGGTTTTCCGGTAGATACCATTCACCAGCGGCGATTTTTCTCACTACTTCCTTTGTCAAATTTAATTTCATTTTTATGATTGAAATTTCAGTATCCTATATTTTCAGGAAAATGATCCGCCATCGAAAAGAGTTTTTCAGGATGTCGTGGAGATCCTAAGTTACCGCTCTGAGGCAAGGATTTCTCCCGTGTACTTTTCATCCTTTATGTATAAAATTTAATTTCGATTTTTAGATTCAAATTTGAGGGTCTTTTGAGTTCAGGAAAAGGATCCAACATGAAAAACAGCTCTTCAGTATGCGTGGAAACCCAAAGTTACCGCTCTTCAGCAACGATTTCTCTCACTAGCTTTCCATCCTCTACTTCAAATTAAATTTCAATATTTTCTTTGAAATTGAAAAATTTTCTGTGTTCATAAAAATGATCCACCATGAAAAACATCTCTTCATGGTGCCGTGAAAATCCAAAGTCAGGGCTCTTCAGCAACGATTTCTAACTCCCCATCCTCTGCTCGAAATTAAATTTCAATATTTTCTTTCAAATTGAAGAATCCTTTGTCTTGATAAAAATGATCCACCATGAAAAACATCTCTTCATGGTGCCGTGAAAATCCAAAGTCAGGGCTCTTCAGCAACGATTTCTAACTTCCCATCCTCTGCTCGAAATTAAATTTCAATATTTTCTTTGAAATTGAAGAATCCTCTCTCTTGATAAAAATGATCCACCATGAAAAACAGTTCTTCATGGTGCCGTGAAAATCCAAGTATCGACTCTAGGACATACCGGTTGTAGATGCTGAAGAGGTAGGACCGTAGAGGACGAGGCGAACCTCATCTGTCGGTAGAGACCCAACATGAGGTTCGGCCTAGCCTCTCCGAGGGCCAACCCGAGGTAGTACATGTTCCCGGAGTACTTTGACGAAGTACCCGAAGAAGTTGCCGAAGAAGTGGCACTCCGGGGGGAACTCCCGAAGACGAGCCTCCTTCCTGAGGAGTCAACTTCCGAAGCGAGCGAGTCGGTGGTCAACGACACACTGATCGCTCCTCCAGAAATGTCTCTTCGTTCTCCCTATGGTGGGCGCTCGTTATCTCTCGTTCCGATAAGAAGTATCTCGGGTGTGCCATCCGAAACGACACCGACGAGGCCACGCAAAGTCCTCGGGAGGGACGAACTCTGACCCCGGGCATAATTATACCAAGTGTTCCGCGATTGGCTGGTGATGCTGTTTGGACGGGATTATTTTCTTTTTTTAAATTGCAGGAAGTGCGAGCGACGAGTCGCCTCGTGCTGCACTCGTGTTGCAACGAGGAGGGGGATTCGTTGCTTCCGGGTTCCTGACAAGGGTTACCCACTCAACCTCCTCTCCGATTTAATTAATTTTTTAATATGTTATAAAGGGTTCAAAAATAAGCGACACGTATTTTTTTATAACTCTTTAAATTTATTTCTTGAGGGCGAAACGGATTTTCAAAGTTGCCAAATGTATACTCGCTGTGGTGGAGGCAACGAAAGGGTTACCCACTCATCCTCCTCTCCGATTGAATTAATTTTTTAATATGTTATAAAGGGTTCAAAAATAAGCGACACGTATTTTTTTTATAACGCTTTAAATTTATTTCTTGGCGGCGAAATAAATTTTCAAAGTTGCCAAATGTATACTCGCCGTGGAGGAGGCAACGAAAACCCTTTCGGGTAACCCTACCCACTTATGCTCCTATTCCATTTAATTAATTTTTTAGTATGTTATAAAGGATCCAAAAATAAACGACACGTATTTTTTTATAACTCTTTAAATTTATTTCTTGGGGGCGAAACAAATTTTCAAAGTTGTCCAAGTCTTCAGCATCAGGCAAGGAAGAGTTAAAGTGAGATCTCTCGTTTCCAGGATCCTAGGATGAATCGGTACCACATCCCAGATCCCGAGGGACGTTATAATTCCTGACTCCGACCTTCGTTTTTGGATCCGGGAACCTACGAGTGGGATTTTTGGGGTCCGGACGAAAGGGGAAAATCAAAAAGGAGGACTCAATTCCAAGGAAGAAGGCGCTTCTGGTCCCAGGTCCCGGGCCACGTTTCGGGAGACATCCTGAGGGAGGCTTTGATTTCTTGCTCCAGCGAGCTCGGGACAAGAAATAAAAACCCAAGAAAGGATAGTGCTCGGAGTCCTAGGGACACGGCGGTGCCCGGCATTCGTATTCCCGAGGGAATATTCCAGGAATGTCGGCTATAAGGGAGATTTCTCCTCCGCGATGACGACCCTCGGGGTAAGGAATTAGGCGAAGGTTACTAATGCCTGAATATGAGGCCATGAAATGGGATTCTTATACATAACGTCTATGGCTGATTCCACATAAAGTGAACCAAGAATCGAGAGCCAGCATGGAGAAAAATAATGGCTCTTAAGTAAACCAAGAATCGAGATCCAGCATGGAGAAAAATAATCGCTCTTATTTTTCTTTGGGGAGGTCAGCGACATCTCTCCTTATACTATTTCTTAGGATAGACTTTATGCCGTAACGCAATTAGAGCGACGTTGCTTTCCGACTGTCTAATCCCATTCCGCAATGTTAAATTCCCGAAATGTTGCCAGGAATTTCGGGAGCGGTCGCAACCGAGTTTCGGGATAACTCGATCGCTTTCATCTCTCGACGCGACCTCGACTGGAATATTTAAACAACCTGAATAAAATAAATGCACTTTCCGGGGATTATCGTCACTGAAGGGAAGTACCGCGCAACATTTTCTATATTTAAATTCAATCGAACATTGATGGTTTTATTAATTATTTCGGATATAACTTTGCACTTTAAAGGGGCGGAGGAGAGGTAATGCAGCTGCGGTAAATGCATTCATTATAACAATTATTTCTTAACAATGTATTCGGTACATTTAGTCATAAGATCAGTCAAGAGATATCTTATAAAACGAGATCAAATCTGATTTCCAATCCCCTCAAAAATGAAATAAACGATCCAAGGATCCTATTATTCTCTTCAGTAATCCTGAAAAAAATCCATCAATTATGATAATTACTGCACGTCGGAGTATCGAGTCAAAGAAAGTCTAACAAAACGAGATCGAGCCCGATTTCCAATCATCCAGAAAGCAATTAAAGGATCAAAGGATCTCCGATTAAATGGAGACTCATTAAAAGTGCAAGGAAGAGATCGGCGTTTCCGGAAGCAGTCGAGGAGCGATCGGAAGTGGAGGTCCTGCCGAGGTCGGCTCGTAAATTCGCATTTTCGCGAGCCATTTCTCCCGAGTGGAGGGACCGCCACTCAATGGCCCCTTTTGCATCGCGTCTTCCTCTCCTCTCCAGAGGAATTCCAGGACTCGCTTATTCGGGAAACGTCGGCCGGAAAATGTCAGCGCCGGACGTGGAAAAAGGGCAGGAAAAAAGAAATGGAAACGACGAAAATTCCCTGCTTTTGCTTCTGGAGCCGCGAGGAAAATAAAGCAGTATTTTCGGGGTCTCGGATTTCCTGCTGAGAGTAAAACAAATTTTTTTTTATTCGAGAAATACAAAAAAAATATGAAACGCCGAAAATTTCGATCTCACGGGTGCAATGGAAAATAAAGCAGTATTTTCGGAGTCTCGGATTTCCTGCGGAGGGTAAAACAATTTTTTTTGTTAATCTAAAAAATTCAAATAAAAATATGAAACGCTGAAAATTTCAATCTCACGGGTGCAATGGAAAATAAAGCAGTATTTTCGGGGTCTCGGATTTCCTGCGGAGGGTGAAACATTTTTTTTGTTAATCTAAGAAATTCAAATAAAAATATGAAATCCCGACAATTTCGATCTCACGGGTGCAATGGAAAATAAAGCAGTATTTTCGGAGACTCGGATTCCCTGTCGAGGGTGAAACATTTTTTTCTATGAATTTAAGGAATATAAAAAAAATATGAAACGCCTGAAATTTCGATCTCACGGGTGCAATGTATAATAAAGCAGGGTTTTTCATTGTCCTGATTTGATTAGGGAGGGCAGAATATTTTCTATTCAATTCTGATCGATGAAAAGGGAAATTGTAAAGTTGGGAATTCGTCATTTCCACTTATCAAGGACCATGAGAAAATTTCAAATGACTCGCCCGCTTCGGAGCTGATAACCGGGGAGATATAATTGTGGAGAATTATATCCGGGAGATAAGTTTGAGTGGTGCAAGATTTTGGAATTTTCTCAGGGATTTTCAGGAAAGTGGTTTCCAACATGTCGACGTCGAGTCAGCGAGTTTACTTATCGTTTCGATTCTGACGAATAGTCTCTTGTTAGCGAGGGAACTTTCGAGTTTCGATAAAACTTCGAGACAGGCGTCGGGAACCCTCAAAAAGTTTGCGGCGTTTTTCCTTTCTGACGGATAAGAAATAATTAATCGAGGCGCGATCGGAATCGAGTCGCGGAATTCCTCCTTAGATAAAATCCATTAATACCTGCATTTTTTATATTTTGATATGTAATCATTTCTTTTTCTTTTTTTTTAATACACATTTTCCGGCACNTGTATGTTTATATATTTTTTAATGTAATCATTTCTTTTTCTTTTTTTTTTAAAGATGAAATGTCGTCGTTGCGGAATCTCCCGCTAGATGGAGTCCGGAATAAAGGTGTCACCGCGTAGCTCGATATCACCGTCAGTCGATATCACGACGACACTCCACCCCCGGAACACGTGGACTTTTCCTGACAGATTTGACCGATACTCGGGCCGAGGGCTTCTTGAGTGTATCGGCCGTGCTTCAAAGAAAAGAGGGAAAAAACCTAGGAGATGAAAATTCAAAGGGAAAGCCCGATATCCCGGGAGTTTCGCGCCGGGAAATTTATGCGCGAATAAATCCCGCCGGCCAAGAAATTGCTAATTTCGAGGAAATTAGGAAAATATTGAATCGGACTATTGGGAATATTTTTTAAACACGGTAGAAAAGTTCAGGAAAATTCAGGAAAATCCGCGAAGCGGGAGACGGGGAGAAGAATAAAATTTCCGAATTCCAAGAAATTGGTAGTATCGATAAAATGAAGAAAATATTGAATCGGACTATTGATAATATTTTTTAAACACGGTAGAAAATTTCCGGAAAATTCAGGAAAATCCGTGAAGAGGGAGACGGGGAGAAGAATAAAATTTCCGAATTCCAAGAAATTGGTAGTATCGATAAAATGAGGAAAATATTGAATCGGACTATTGGTAATATTTTTTAAACACGGTAGAAAAGTTCAGGAAAATTCAGGAAAACCCGCGAAGAGAGACACAGAGAGAAGAATAAAATTTCGGAATCAAGTCGTCGAAATTGGGAGTTTTGGGTCGATTATCCAAAAATATGATTATCGAGATGTACTCCGACTCGATTCGATTACGTGGCTAATTACGTAAGACTGATTACGTGGACGTACGAAGTCTGCGGGAATAATTGCAAGAGGAGTGATAAGACATGCTCATGAATAGATTCAATTATACTATTCTGAACTACTGAAGATAGAGTAGAAAAAATTCTCTTAAAAATGTTGGATATTTTTATTTTTCTTATTAATCCTATTTTCCTATTTTCGTCTCTCCCTTGATTTTCCAAATTTCAGTGCTTTCCACCTTTAAGGATTCTCCTTCGATTTTTGGAAACCCACTGCTTTGCATATTTAAAGATTCCCGGCCAATTCGTTTTTGGTCCTTCGGGATGAAGGAAAGAGGGAAAAAGAAAAAAATGCCGAACAGGGCAAGCCGAGGAGCCTGAAAGTGTCGTCGATTTTGAATAAATCACCATTTCATTCTTAAGCCTGTCGACTTATAAGAATAAAGAGGGTGCGAGGAGTGAATTTCTTCCCAGCTTCGTGGGAATTTTTGAAATTCATGACCCTCGGCAAAGTGCAGTTTCGAACCTGTTGACTCGATCCTTAAATCCTTGTACAAATAATCTCGATTCGGAAATCCTTTGTCGATCGTCCGCAAGACGGAAGTGATAAGAAAGATTACCTTATCGACCGCCACCCCCTGAATTTCAAATATCCCGACTTATCATACAAACTAAAATTCTAAAGCTGTCCAAGGATGTGAAATTCCACC